AGTCAGCAGTATGTTCCTGTCCTTCCCATTCGCCCCTCCCCTGCCCACCACCCAACAAAACCCCCACATGCACACCCACACCCTCCCTACATCCCACATACCCACAGCCCCCCATAAACCTATATCCACCCCCCATGGCTAGGGGGGTGGGGTCAGGCGGGCTCTGCTGTTGCAGGAGCCCACGGGGACTTCCCCTGGGTCCTACTGCCCCTGGCTCCTGTCATCTTTGACAGAAACCAAGGACAGATAAATAATAATTTTCTAAATTTTTTTAGGGGCCCCGCCGATCAGACAGAATGGCCTAGCAGGCCGAATCCGGCGCACAGACTGTATTTTGCCCACCCCTGCTCTAGAGCAAAGGTTACAGTATCACTTGTCTAGCTTTCAGTCATTAAGTGAAATGCAGAGTGCTGCACTTAAGGCATAAAAATATCCAGCACCCCTACTGGCTGAGAAATGACCCTCTCAGCACCACAGAAGCAGAGAGGGGTCTTGGAGTCATAGTGGACTCCAGGATGAACATAAGTCATCAGTGTGACGAAATCATCAGTAAAGCTAACCACACTTCATCATGCATCAGCAGATGCATGACAAATAGATCCAAGGAGGTGATACTTCCTCTCTATGTGGCATTGGTCAGACTGCAGTTGGAGTATTGCGTTCAGTTTTGGGTTCTGTACTTTAACAAGGATGTGGATAACCTCAAGAGGGTCCAGAGGAGGACCATTCAGATGGTTAGGGTCTTACAGGCCAAGCCTGACCCTGACCTCTTCAGCCTCTGCAAGAGAAGGCTGAGAGGTGATCTTGTGGCTGCCTACAAATTCATTAGGGGGGCACAGCAAGGGATTGGAGATGCTCTGTTCACCAGAGCACCTCCTGGGGTAACAATGGTCACAAACTGACAGAGAAAGAATTTAGGCTAGACATCAGGGAAAACTTCTTCATGGTAAGAGTGGCCAAAATCTGGAGTGGGCTTGCAAGGGAGGTGGTGTTCTCCCCTACCTTGGGGGTCTTTAAGAGAATGCTGGATAGGCATCTGGCTGGGGTCATCTGACCCCAGCGCTCTTTCCTGCCCAGGCAGAGGGTCGGACTCGATGATCTGTTGAGGTCCCTTCCGACCCTAGCATCTATGAATCTATTTCAAGAAGTTGTCATGTTGCCTTCTAATCACTGCACCTCAAGAGCACCTTAAAAAAAAAGTCACATTGGATAGGAAACTAGATAGAATAGGCATTTAAAGACAGAAAACCCTTAAATTATTTCTAGTTGCTAATAGTAATACTTACATCTCCTTCAAGGCTGAGTTTGGTTAGAATTTCATGGACTGTAGACATCTTGAAAAAACACTGGAAAAAAATAAGACATTTTATGTAGCAAGGCCAGGACAATCTGATGAGAACTGCTGGATTGACCAATAATTAACTGAAGGGTATCCAGCAAGAGTGATTATCATGTTGGGATAGGAATTAGTCTTCACTGTCCTATACAGCAGTAAATGACCCCTTATTTGTTAAAGGAATACAGTTTTGCTGCACTTTTTAATTTCAGCCAATAAATTGGATTTCCTCTCTCAGATGGAGCTCAAACATAATTAAAAACAAAAAACAAAAAAAAAACAAAAAAACCAATGCCAGAGAAATATCAGAAAGCTTAAATCCTGTGCATAGATCATCAGCAAAAAGCCATAAGAAACAATATATTACCACAATCCAATAACTTCCAACTCAGAGACCAAATTCTTCACATACATGTTTTGCAATGTATGGAGGCCACTTTCATTTTCCAAAAGCACAATTCCTGTTATTTAATCTCTAATACACAAGATGGACTGCTTGCCCAGTCTTGCTACCCCCAAAATATATGAAAAGCCTATTTGGCCAGATATGTCACAAAAAAGGACTTCTGCTTAAAATGCTTATGTCACAACACTATCTTTGCCACTAAGTCTGGTTTCCACACCTTGGAGGTTGGCCAGATTAGTAGCACTGCTTGAGGGTCCCTGTAGCATCAGAGTAAAAGAAAGAGGAAGATTTTTAAGTGGTATAAAATCAAAGGCAATTCAAGTAGCACTGCTGCATTCCTAAAGCTCTGCTGGAAGGTGGCACTCCTACATTCTTTTAGCAAGGAAAGGAATGTGCCCATTTGTGTCGTTTTCAGATCATATCGAGTTGCAAACGCAGCGCACATTGACTAACCAACAATTTAACCATGCTTTCTGGGGTGTAAGACATGGCGGGGGGTTTCTGCCTGAAAGAGGTCTAAAATTAAGGTACATCTTCTATACCAAAGCTCTGCAATGAAAAAATAACAGAGATCAAATTATCTGAAGTTCCTGCCATAGTTTTCGTTTGGCCCCTGCCACGAGCTGGAGTTTGAGATGCCATGATTTTGTGGAAGGTAAATCTAGAAAGTAGTTTGCTTGAAAATGCGTTAACGCAAATTCTAGCGTACTCTATGTTGGTATTTGGTTGTTATTCTTGAAACATTCTACACACAAAAGATTTCTGTTCTACACATGGAACTGCCTTTAGTACACTGGCAGCTCTATGATTAGCATGTGTTGTTGGCCTCCTATACTATACGTATGTATCAGCAATAAATAAGTCTTATATAGTAGCTTCCAAACAGAGTTGTAAAATATTCAGGAGAAAATGGGGAGAAAGCACAAAGATATTTTGACTTCCACCTACAGAAAAAAAATGTTCATAAAAACATCAAGAGAAAGGGAAGCCTGCTACACACAGGAAGTCAGCTAAGTGGCCTGAGCTAGATAAAATACTGCATTCGGTAGCAAATCATAAACAGAATGGAACTGCCATTTTCATCAACTGGATTATGATGCAGGTGTGGAAACTCACAAAAGAAATGCATTAGATTTCAGCAGACGTATAAGATGGTGTCACAGATCCATAAGATACCATGGACTGCTACTGTTTGCAAGGACAACTGCATGAAGGCTGCCAGAAAAATGAGAGTGCAAGGTTGTGGAATTTCATATATTCATCCTAAACCCAAGGAGGAGGACAAGTACACTAGAAATTAGTTTATCAGAAATACAGATGAGGTTCCTCTGTACCTTGATTTGCATCCAATAAGATGGCAAATGTGAAGTGGGAAGGAAATGGTCACAGTGAAAAATCATCATGAAAAGTCATGCCGTCCTGGCATGTTATGCCAAGGCTGATTTTGAAATGGAAAATTCATACTGAAAAATTCCTTGGGGTGTACAAGTCCATGGAAAAGGGTGTGTGGACAAAAATGGGGTGGTCAAAATTAATAAAAATCTGGTATAGACACAAGTACAAAGAAACCATCTCTATGGTCTGTGATCAGTTTCGTGTTTATATACTCCTCCAGTTTTATACTCCTCAGAAATTTTCCTTTTCTTTTTACTCCTGATTATTTCCTTCTCTTTTTACTCCAGGACCCACCCAGGGAAAGCATACTACTGCCTTGGAAAATCTTCCAGGTACAAAAATCTCAGTCAGATTAGAAACCAACAGCTCTTCCTAACTGCTAGAAACCCTTGTTTGTTCCTGAATTGCCATACCCTGATGTAGCATTTCCCAAACGGCTGGGTGCACTCTGGCAACACAAAATCACTCCCCTACTTCAACAGTTCTCAGACCCCATCATACTTCAGTTGCCACCCCTGCTTCCCTTGCTGCTGAATGTCCATGACCCCTTACTTATGCCATAAGCTGCTGCTGCAGCAAGGACAGAGGCAGCAGCAGCAGCTTCTGTAGGGGAGTGAAGGAGAATCAGTGACAAGGGAAGTAGCAGTGGCAGCTGAAGTCCAGGAGGTGTAGGAGTGCCTGACAGTGGGACCAAAAGGTTAGGAAATGCTGCCTAACTACCCAGTTTCCACATATGACTTCCTTGAAAACAGAAGAATCTAAGTTGATCCCAAGCAAAAAATGACTTCCCACTCTGTCAATCAGGGTCACTTGGAAAAGAAAATCAAGTGAATATAGGATGAGTGGGTAAAGCCAGTCTGAAAATGATCATTTTGTTATAGAAACCATTAACCTTCAGGATTAATTACTGAAAAAGCAATCAGTATTATGAAGTTAAACAAAGTGCTCAGAAGTTGAGGCTTCATATTTTTAAAATGCAAAAAAATAAGCAGCCTCTTTGTCCACACTCCCAAATACTATTTTATGCTCTAATATCCTATATGGTATGGCTACAAAAAAGATTCTTTTTAATGTTATGGAAAAGAAGTGATTCTTCAAGACCACCTACCAGAAAGAATTGGCCCCTATTCAAGCCTGTTCCAGGACGGTAGTCAAGCACTAGAAAAGGCTACCTAGAGATGCTGTGGAATCTCCATCCTTAAAAGTTTTTAAGACCCTAACATACAAAGCCTTGGCTGAGACAATATAGCTGGGCATGGTCCTGCTTTGAGTAGAGGATTGGGCTAGATGACCTCCTGAGGTCCCTTCCAACCCTGATTTTCTACTATTCTATACGTCAGAAGTTCAACTCAGAAACAAACAGTATTGTCCTAGCTGTGCTACAGCAACACAAACTAAATTTACTTCTTTGACTGTCACAATTTTGTAGGCAAGGAAAATAATTTGATTTGTTTGGCAGGAAAGAAAATTACTCTTGTTAATGTTTCTGACAAAGTAGTGAGATGAAGTGGAATGCTGCAAAGAATCTCTCTCCCGTTATTATTAGTTCTAGACATTATTTAAATATTAAAATGTAATATTTGTTATAAAAAACAGTAAGACCTTCTGTTGTATCTCTGTAGTGCAAGCGCTACCTCACCCGTATCTAACTTGTCCTGGCTTGCTTTAAGTGAGTCAAGAAGAGTAAGAAATTTTAATCTTCTGGAGCAATCTAGCTGGGAAAGGAAAGAAAGTTGAAATGGTACTAATTGGCCTAAAGGAGAATTAAAATGTTTAAGGAAAAAAAATTGAACAAACAGTGCCAAACCCTCCAGTTCCTGCCCATATGATCAGCTGAATTAAATTAAGAAAGCAGTGCTGAGACAGGAATTCAGAACACTGAAACTCTCGAAACAGCAGCAGTATAAAAGAAAACCATAGTGTCTTACTCAGTCATTAAACATGCTGGTTATGAGGGGGATGGTATGTCAGCTACATTATGACATCCTTATTACTTCTTGAATCTTAATGAAAATTACACATTCAGACAGAAGGAGCTTTGTACTTAAGAGGTTTTACAGTTGATCATTGAGACAAGAAGCTCAAAAATCTTCATTTTGCCCAGAGCTAAACTGCTCCACTGAAAGCTAAAGTGAATGCAACTGCAGTATAAGCTTTCACAGAGTAGTAATCACTGAACAGATTTTTGCAAGCCTTCCATTTCTAAATCAAATAAAAACCACATTGAATCAGACTTGTTGGAACAGAAAACTTGAACAGAGTCCAGAGTACTGAGCTCACACACCCTCTTGTACAGTTGAAACTGGAATGTTCAAGGAGTTGCCACATAACAATGCTATAGCAACCAAAAGCCACAAGCAAAAAAGAAAATTTGCAGCATGCAGCAAAATGGGGATTTTTGTCAAATGAATTTTTCCAATTAAGAATTTGACTTGCAGAATAAATATATTTCTCATTGCTACTTTGGCAGTGTTTGAGCCCAAATTTGTCAAGATACTCTGAATATCCTTATGTAAAATATTTATTACTGTCAAAGTTCTAATTAGTAATGGTTGGCTTGCAAATATTAATTAGTAATATATGTATAACCCCCTTGTTCTGTAGACAGGAATGTTTCAAAATGCATCCATCTCAGGAAGGTCGGTGAGACCATCTTGAGCATGCCCGGCAGGGGAAAGGGTGGTGGCTGATGGCCATGTTGGGCATACCACTGATGTAGAAAGGAGAAAAACACTGTTTTAGCAACTAGGTTGGAGTGCATGGCAGGGGAGGCCCAGACAGGACTGTTCTGTGCGAGCTCTTAGACAAGAGGGGCAGTGTCTGGTTGACTGAGACTGCCTTTTTACACTGACTGATCAGGGCTGGATGAGCTTGGGCTCCAACTGACAGAGGGGTAACAAATCTATCCAGTGTCCCAGAAACTGAAAGAAGATGAGGGGGATTTTAAACATTTTTCTCTCAACCAGAAAAATGTGCATCCTGTTCTGAGTGCCAGGTGGGAAAAAGGAAATGACACAAGCACGCTGGATCCATCCAGAGGCTCCAGGTGAGGTGGATTCAATCAGCAGTGATTAAGAGCAGCTCTCAGAGATCTGACTAGCCTTAGAAAGAGGGCAGCGGACCCCGTGCAGGCCAGTTTTGGGCATGAATGTCAAGAACTGAGCAGTAAGTCCTGAAATGAAGTGGGGGAGTTCTCAAGGACAGTGAAGCTGATTTGCAGTTTATCTGCCACCGAGGAGAAATGCACTG